TGTCTTTGTTTGCAGATAATATCTCAAAGAATCAACAAAAGAACTGAAACTAATAATCAATTATAGCAAATTTGCAAGTTTGCTGGATACAAGGTTAATATACAAAAGGCACTTGCTTTCTTATTCACCAATAATAAACAATTGGTATTTAAAATTAAAAACACAATACTATTTATATTATCACCAAAATAAATGAAACACTTAGATATAAGTCTAACAAAATATGTACAAAATCCACTTGAGGGAAACTACAAAACTCTGATAAAATAATAAAAAAAGATCTAAAGAAATAGTTATTTCATGTACATAAATAGGAAGACAATATTATCAAGATGTCAGTTCTTCCCAACTTTGCCTATAGACTCAACACAATCTCAGTCAAAATCCCAGCAAGTGCCCTGGCTGGTTTTGCTCAGTGGTTAGAGCATCAACCCATGGACCAAAGAGCTGCAGGTTCATTTTTGGTCAAGGGCAGGTACCTTGGTTGCAGTTCAGTCCCCAGCCCTGGTCAGGGTCGTGCAGGAGGCAGCCAATCAATGTTTCTCTCTCACTCTCCTTCCCACTCTATCTAAAGATAAATGGAAAATTATCCTCAGGTGAGGATTTAAAAAAAATATCCCAGCAAGTTATTTTGTGGATATTGATAAACCGATTTAAAAGTTTACATAGAGAGGCCAAAAGCCCAGAAGAGCCCATACAATATTGAAGGAAAAGAACAAGATCAGAGAACTAACACTACCTGACTTGAAGATTTACTATAAGCTACAATAATCAAGACAGTGTGGTGTTGGTGAAAAAAATAAACAAATAAAGCAATGGAACAGAACAAAGAGCCCAGAAATAGATCAACACAAATCAGTCAATTGACCTTTGACAAAGGAGCAAAGGCCATTCAATAAAGAAAGGATAGTGATTTCAATAAATCAATAAATGATACTGTAATAACTGGACATCACATACAAAAAATAAATAAATGTACACAAAGACCTTAAAACTTTCATAAACATGAATGCAAAAAAGATCATAAACCTAATCGTAAAACTATAAAATTCCAAGAGGATAACATAGGAGAAAACCTAGATGACCCTGGGATGGCAATGACTTTTTAGATACAAAACCAACAATCCATGAAAGAAATAACTGACAAGCTGGACTTCATTAAAATTTTCTTCTATGAGAAAGAAATTGTCAAGAGAATGAAAAGACAAGCCACAGAACTGGGAGAAAATATTTGCATAAAAAAACTTATTTGATAAAGGACTTGTATCCAAAATACAAAGAACTCTTAAAACTCAACAATAAGAAAATGAACAATCCAATTTAAAAAGCTGGCAAAATATCTGAACAGACACCTCATCAAAGAAGATACCCAGATGGCAAACAGCACAGCATATGAAAAGATGCTCAACATCATCCCTCATTAGGGAAATGCAAATAAAAAGAACAATGAGATACCACTATACACATATTAGACTGGATAAAATACAAACACTGACAACACCAAATGCTGGGGAGGATGTGAAGAAACAGGAACTCTCACTCATTGGTAGGAATGCAAAATAGTACAGACACTTTGGAAACAGTTTGACAGTTTCCTACAAAACTAAACATATTCTTATGATACAATCCAGCAATCATGCTCCTAGGTATTTACCCAAAGGAGTTGAAAAGTACGTCTACACAAAAACCTGCACATGAATGTTTAGAGTGGCTTCATTCATAACTACCAAAACTCGGAAGCCACCAAGATGTCCTTCAGGCCCTAGCCAGTTTGGCTCAGTGGTTAGAGCGTCGGCCTGCGGTCCAGAGAGACCCGGGGTCGGTTCCCGCTAAGGGCACGTGCCTGGGTTGCAGTTTGTCCTTTCCTGGTTGGGTCATATGGGTGGCAGCCACTCGATGTGTCCCTTTCACATCAATGTTTCTCTTTCTCTTCCTCTCTCTCCCTCTCGCTCTATCTGAATAAAAAAATGGCCCTGGCCTGTTTGGCTCAGCGGTTAGAGCGTCGGCCTGCGGTCCGGAGAGACCCGGGTTCGGTTCCCGCTAAGGGCACGTACTTCGGTTGCAGTTTGTCCCCGGCCCTGGTTGGTCGTGCAGTGGCAGCCACTCGATGTGTCCCTTTCACATCGATGTTTCTCTCTCTCTATCTCTTCCTCTCTCTCTCTCCCTCCCACTCTATCTGTACAAAAAATGGAAAAATGTCCTCGGGTGAGGATAAAAAAAAAAAAAAGAAAGAAAAAATGTCCTCGGATGAGGATAAAAAAAAAACACAAAAAACTATCAAGCCAGGAAAAGACACGCATATTGCAAAGTGCAAATTGCAGAGTGAAGGAAGCCAATCTAAAAAGGTTACATACTGTATGATTCCAACTATATGACATTCTGGAAAACTATGGAGACAGTAAAAAGATTAGTAATTGCTAGGAATTCAGGTGGAAGGGTAGAATGAATGAATGGTTAGAACACAGGGATTTTCAGGGCAGAGAAAGTATTATGTGTGATGCTGTTGTGGTAGATAGAAATCAAATACTTGTCAGAACTCATAAAATGTACAACACAAAGAGTGAACCTCATGTAGACTATAGACTTTAGTTAATCATACTGTATCAACATTGACTCATCAATTTTAACAAATGTACCACACTAATGCAAGATGGTAATAACAGGGAAAACTTGGGGGGGGGGACTCTATACTTCCTGCTCAATTCTTCTGTAAACTAAAACTGTCCACCCAAAAATAAAATCTATAAATTTTTTCAGAAGCAAACCATGTCAATGATTTTCTTAAAAATACAATAAAGTTTAATATTAAGAAGAGGAAATAAATCTTTAAAATTCATGATACACTTGGAATTCTGCTTAGAACAGAAAGCCAACTGAGGTTTTCATAAGAAGAGTGACTGTTACCCTGTGGTGTTAAAATAAACTCTGGACAGCTCTCTGATAACCTCTCATTTGGCTGCCCCTGAAACAAGTGTTTACAGTAAATACCAAGATTCTACTACGAGCAAGCTCTGAAATTATCTTCCTTATCTGCAATTTATTTTTAACGATAGGCTCTGGAAAGCCTCCCTTTTTCAGATTCAAAAAGCAAGTAATCAAATTAATTTTTTTTTAGGTGTATGTTTTTAAATGTTGCTGAAGACGAGCCCTGGCCCATTTTGCTCAGTGGTTAGAGCATCGGCCTGCGGTCCAGAGAGACCCGGGTTTGGTTCCCGCTAAGGGCGTGTACCTCGGTTGCGGTTTGTCCCTGGCCCTAGTTGGGTTGTGCGGGTGGCAACCACTCAATGTGTCCCTTTCACGTCGATGTTTCTCTCTCTCTTTCTCCCTCCCACTCTATCTGAACAAAATATCGAAAAAAATGTCCTCGGGTGAGGATAAAAAACAACAACAATGTTGCTGAAAACGAAATCCTATTTCTCCTTTGTTAAATAGCAGCTCTCTCTGCTAGTCCCTCCACCACCCAGCAGAACTCATAATTCCATCTCTTCTACTCCCAAGAACTTAGTTCTTACCTCTAGTGATCCATTTTTCACTGTCAGCTAGCCAAACACTGGTCTAGCCAATCCTCCCACTGAGCCCCTGAAAACAGGGATGGCCACAGTCATTTCTTGCTAGGACCTCATCCTAAAAGGCATTTCCTATCAAATTGTTTGTAGATGTAAGTGATGGACACCTAACAAACTAACCAGCTATTCTGCTAGGAAAGTAAAAATGCAGTTGCTGTTTTTAGGTGATGTAGATTCTGGGACCATAAATTGTGTGTGTGTGTGTGTGTGTGTGTGTGTGTGTGTGTCCGTGTGTCCCCATCTCATTTCCTTCATCTCTCTACTCTGATTTCCTGTGTTGCCTTCATTCTCAGAAAGGCTTTCCCTCAGTGGTAGCAAAGAGAGTAACACGTAGCTCCAGCTTCACAGACCCACAAAAAGGAAAAACGTCTTTGCAACAGTTTCAGTGAAAATACTGGGGCTCCTCCTCTATAAATTCATCCTTGTGACCCCGACTAGCCAGGCTTATGTCACATGGCCATAACAGAGGCAGTGAGGTCACCTCCTCTTACTACATAGTCTGAAACAAAGCAAGGGTGACTGGCTGCCCAGGGAAGCTCTGGGTAATCTGTTGAAGGAGGAGGAAAAGGATGCTGGGTGAACAGAGTCAGCAGACATTCAGTACATCACAGGTTCTCAAGACTGCTAACTTGCTTCGGTCAGGTGAGAATTTATTAAGGCTTCTTATGTCTAATGCTGAGTTTCCCACTGAATATCCAGCAGAAAAGGTTTGCAGTGCCTGTCCCCGTTACACAACACACTTTCTCAAAATAAATTATTTTCCATCTTACTGCCACATGTGAGGTTGTTGCGCACGTTCATGCTTGTGGTCCACTGTTTTGCACTTATTTATATTCTTATTACTTTAAGGACCTTTCTTCTCCTTTGTCCTATATGAGTATCTTATGCCTAAGGTTAAACCATGTGTTGCCAGCTTTTGTTCGGGGGGAGATAAAAAACTTGCAGAGCAAACTGAGGGAGCACAGACAGAAGAGCCCGCCCTCCCACCCCACCCCCACCCCACCCCAAACAGCAGGTCTCCATGATCCACCATGTGAAATCCAAATGGAGGCAAGTCTCAGAAAGTGCCAGTGCCAGTCCTTGCTTCTCAGGGACACCGCACGATGCTTTCCCTCAAAAATAAAGCCAACATCACTGCGGTGATCAGGAGAGGCCTCTGGCTGTGGCTTCTTACATACTTGTACTTGAGACCCCCTCTCTTCTCTGGAAGAAGAAGATGAGAGAGGGCAGGACAGAGGAGGGGAAGAAGGAAGGCAACACCATGCTGTACACAGAAGTTTATCAGGGCACAACATCTGCCGTTAATGCTAGGAATCTCTCAAATAACTGGAATGATCATTTGGGGTTGTCTCAAAAACACTTTCTGGAATGAACAAAACAACTTTTCCCCTTCTGACGCAAGCCACTTTGTCCAGCCTCTTATCTTATACCAACCTGATCTTGCTTAAGTTATGGTCTGTCCCAGGCTCTCACAGCAGCTTTCGTTTATGGATTTTCCATCCAGCAAATGTTTCTGTTCCACAGCTTGGCAGATCCAACCACAGCATGCTTGGCTACGGACCACAGCAGCTCACCCACAGCAGCTCCAACCTGGAGGGGCAAAGGCCAGAAACCATTACAAAAAAGGAGAGTCTCTCTCTCTCGCCCTCGCCCTCGCCCTCGCCCTCTCCCTCTCCCTCTCCCTCTCCCTCTCCCTCTCCCTCTCCCTCTCTCTCCCTCTCTCTCCCCCTCCCTTCCTCCCTCCTTTATATTTCAGAGGATAACCCCAAGCATCTCCTAAATGTTTAAAACCATGAATGAGCAGAGACAACAGTTTATAAGGTGTCCTAGAGACAAGCTTGGGCCATTGTAAAAGGAGGATTAAAGTACTTAATCATTATTGAAAAGGTTTGACCAAAAGATTGTGCGCTGTTTGTGGAAAATTTAAAAGCCAGATGTTTTAATTAACCACAGAAAACACAAGCTACAACTAAAATTTCATGAACACACTGATCTGCCCTGTGGAAAACCACAGGAATGTCCTGGCAGGGCTCAGCCAGAATTCTTGGGACACAGAGGGCCAGAATCATTCCCCTTAGGAACTTGAACAGAAAATTAACTTGCTCAATATGGTGGGTTTTTTTTTTAAGTAAGATGAAACCCAGATTTAATCTCAATCAAATGTAAAAACATTTCAGGACTTCAAAGGGTACCACCAAAAGTCACATAAAGGAAAGGTCATAAAAAAATTCCAATGTATTTCAGGATCTAGAATGTATTTTCAATGCAAAATGAATGGTGCAACAGAAAATTTTATAGGCTAAATAATTCAAAGGGGAAACTAATAATCTTTCATTTCCTAATAAAGGAAAATTATATACAAAACCAATATTCAACATGCGAATCATAAATATTATCAAATGTATAATATATTTTAGCAAAAGGAACTCTAATAACTTCCTACTTCATGCCAAACCTGTGGCCTGGCCCACACTAGCTACCATGCTTCAGTTTGAAGAATCGTGGCATCCATAAAAACTGTGTTAAAATAATGTCTGTTACTGAGGTTGCAGCTAGCAGTTCTGGAGCAGAAATCTAAAATGAGGGGATCTTTTAAAGCAATCAGTGAACAATTAAGAACTAAAAGATTAGGAAGTCTTCATTTGTTAGTTATAGTAATAGTTATGACAACATCTCTGCATGCTAAATATTGAAAGCCTAGTCAAGAAGCAACAGGACAAATGTTATTTTCAGATACTGGCTCCATAATTCTATTTCTGTAAGTCAAAACAGACCCTGTCACAAGCGTGCCAAGCATAATATTACATTAATCTCCACCTTCATTTGAAACGTTAGTCCTAAAAATAAGTTTAAAAAAAACACAGCGAGAAAAAGGTAAGAGATCAAGTTATACACGTATGGTTTGGTCCATCTTGTTCTGCAAACTGAGAGAGCATAATCAAAGGGCACCACAGTTTGAACAGCAGCTATTTCTGGGTCATGGGATTAGAAGTTATTTGTAATTCCTTCTTAGTGTTTTCTATAATTCATATGTATTACTTATAGAATTAGAATATTTTCAAATAAGGTTTTTATTAAATACTACAGGCATACAAATCAGAAATGGGATGATACTACATTAGCCTGATCTATAGGCTTCCTCCTATCTGAACAATAAGGGTTAATGAATTAAGAAGTCTTCATTACTGAACTCAGTAATTCTTAATTTAGACATTCAAAAACCAAGTGTCCAATAACACTTCCAGGGCTAACAACAATACTTCCCCAGAAATAATAAATTTATATCTATTATTTTGCAAACTTCCCACAGAGACAAGACAACCATGGTTGTTTCCCCCTCTAATGCATCCACAAAGAGCACCTCCTGGTGTTACTGACAATCCGCACATGTTAAATCCATATCGTCAAAACCAGGAGAACAAGATAGAATGTGTTCCACCAAAAATGAAATGCATGCAGGGAAAAAAACCACAAGACAAGACTCAACCGCAGGCTAAAAAAGACTGCCCAGAACACGTTCGGTGGGAGAAACAATGGGTGCAGTGTGCTCGGGCAGCAGGTGTCCCGCGCTGAAGCTGCCTGTCAGAGGGAGAGCACTCAGGTCCCAGGACTCGCTCTGTTGATAACAGCACATTCCCACCGCTCAATGCAGGAGAAACGATTTTCAACCAGATAAAACTACACTTGCACCAAGCCACCTGAGAGAGACAGACAGGATGCACGCCCACTCCTGTGCTGGAAATAAGTGATGTATGCCATCTAGTCCTGACCTCTTTCTTCCAAAAGGACCCAAGTCTTAGGTGAGTGACATTAATGATTTCAAAAATTAAGAAAACAAGAGTCACTAATAACTAAACAGAAATAATCTGACTGCTTCCTATCTGATGTTTGATGTGATTTACAGAGTAGGCAGGATTTTTCTCTTTTCTTCTAAATTATCCACATGAAATATTGCTCACCCCCACTTCTTTCTCAGCATCTACCTACAGGATCCACGCCACAGCAATCAGTAACCCAAGAGTCTCACAAAGTGTGAACAGCCTGAAAAGAAGGGGAGAGGAGGACAGATGGCATGACAAGCTCAGAACCGCTCCCTGAAAGGCCTTCACTGGAGCTCACGTCTCGCCCCCTTGTCGACTGTGCAGAACGACAACAAAGGCATGGACTGTGAAGCTGCTAATAAAAAAGCCGCATCCAGGGATAATGTGATCTCGCTTTGTAAGAGCCAGAACAAACACAATGGCTCTGTCCCGCCTCATCTGAGAAGTCACGCACCCGACCAGAAAAGGCGTTTTTTTTCCCACCCAAAAGTGTCCCTTGCACCCACACCATACAGAGAGGGGCAAAATAGGTTTATAGCAGTGAGTACGCAAAACAGTGTTTATTCTTGTACTATTATTTATCAATTATTGTATTATTTTCCATACGAACAATTGTTAACCTACGGTTGTCCCACCCTGTGTGTTTCCATGGCTGGATCCTAGAGGAAAGACTGTCTTGTTCATTTATTCCCATCGATGCCTAGTTCTAATGACAATGGTTAGTATCCATGGCAGGCACAAGGAATTACAATGAAATTAAAGCTTTGTGGTAAATATTGTTCAAATAACTTTTTTTTTTTTTTTTTTATCCTCACCTGAGGATATTTTTCCATTTTTTGTACAGATAGAGTGGGAGGGAGAGAGAGAAAGGGAGAGAAAGAGAAATATCTACGTGAAGAGACACATCGAGTGGCTGCCACCCGCATGACCAACCAGGGCCGGGGACAAACTTGCAACCGAAGTACACGCCCTTAGCGGGAACCGAACCCGGGTCTCTCTGGACCGCAGGCCGATGCTCTAACGGCTGAGCCAAACTGGCCAGGGCTCAAATAACTCTTTAAAGTCATTGGTAAGGGAATGACAGTAAGTTTGATTTTTATTTTATTTTTTTGTTAATCCTCACCTGAGGATAGTTTTCCATTGATTTTTAGATAGAGAGGAAGGAGGGGAGGGAGACAGAGAGATGTTAATGTGAGAGAGACACATTGATCGGTTGCCTCCTGCACGACCCTGACCGGAGCCTGGGATCAAACCTACAACTCAGGTACGTGCCCTTGACCGGGAATTGAACCCAAGACCCTCCGGTCTGCGGGCCGATGCTCTAACTATTGAGCCAAACTGGCCAGGACTGTATGGTTAAATATAACAGTGTGGTAGAATGAAGTCTGACCTACTAATCAAATTGGCAGTCACCAAATTCTCTTTCTCAATAGAGGCTGGTACTTAGAAATTAGAATTAGATTAGATTCACAGATTTCGAAAAACTGTCTTACTTAGAAACTGGGCTGTGTATTGCTTAGCTTTTAGCTTTAGTGAATGCCTTTGGGAAAATGTCCACCCAGATTTTGCCACTGTGTGAGCACCTTAAATGTTTGGCCAGCATTTTATTTGTTCTATTCTAATGCCACAGGCAAGGTTCCTCCTTCTTGAGCCTGATGCCAGAAATATCAGCCAAGCCAATTCAACACTTCTAAAATTCCTTCTCAAAATGACCAGGAGGACCAAGCAAGAACATGTTGGAGAACATTCCTCTCACAGCTTTGGAAATTTGATTTTAAAAAGGCAGATTCACAGTATCAACAAATTTATATTTTAAAATGTTTCCCCCCTCCCTCCCAAAAAAGAATCTATCATCGGTACACATTACAGGCAACTGAAAAGAATCTATGAATGAATAATCCAGAGTGGCACCCAACAAAGTTTGTGGCTGATGATGAAGACATTATGGCAATTTATTTTATTAATTTATTTTTGTTACAAATGTTTCTCCTTTTTCCCCCATTGACCCCTTCCTCCTGATCCAGCCCCCAGACCCGTCCCCAGCACTGTTGTCTATGTCCATGGTTACACATACATGCATATAAGTTCTGTGGTTTATCTCTTCCCTCTCCTTCCCCCCAAACCCCCATCTGAGGTTTGTCAGTCTGTACCCTACTTCTATGTCTCTGAGTCTGTTTTGTTCATCAGTTTGTTTTGTTCATTATATTCCACAAATAAGTGAGATCATGTGATATTTGTCTTTCTCAATTGGCTTGTTTCGTTTAGGATAATACTCTCCAGGTCCCTCCATGTCACCTCAAAGGATAAGACATCTTTCTTTCTTATAGCTGCATAGTACTCCATTGTGTAAATGTACCACACTTTTTTATCCACTCATCTATTGATGGTCACTTGGGCTGTTTCCAGATCTTAGCAATTACATTATGGCAATTTAGAAAAGGTTTCCAATAGTAACCTCCCCTGTCATAATCAAAAATAAAGAGAATTTCAACTGGGCATTCAGTGGAAATCTATGCTTATTAACATTTTAAAGACTGTTCTGGAAAGAACAAGGGAGAAGAAATTAGCACATATACAAGTGATGGCCCCAGTTGTGCTACTTATGTCCGAAGGCTTTCTGGGACAATTAACTTAACTTACTCTCTTTAACCTTCGTTCCCTCATTTGTAAAACTGGGATGGATACCATCAGCCAACTTCATGAGACTGGCAAATGATGAAACCAAATATAAAATATAAAAGCAGTATAGAAATTAA